TGGTATTTATTCATCTGTGACCCCTGGGGTACTCCACTGGTGATTGTCCTCCAGCTAAATCTCATGTTGCATGGATTTATGAAGAGGGGAACAGTCTAATAGCCCTGTACAAGGAGAAGACTGAATCAGTGGCAAGGGGAGAGTACTGGATCTTGTTTATCTCAAATTTACTATGGCTTTTGGCACTCCCATAACACTTTCATGAAGTACAGGTTAGGTGAGTGCTCAGTGAGTTGGACTGAAAACTTAAGCTCTAACAGTTGTGACAAACAAAATGCAGCTGGAGGCTGCTCACTACTGCTCCAAGGTTGGTGGTGGTCCAAAAGTGTCCCACATCTTTATTACTGACCTGGATGGTGAGACAGAACATACCCTCACCAAGTCTGCAGGCAATACAAAATTGGGAAGAGTAGCTGATACACCAGAGGGTTGTGCTGCCATTCACAAGGACCTCAACAGACTTGAGAAATGGCTAAACAGGAATTTTGTGAGATCTGACAAAATGGAATGCGAAGTCCCGCAGCTGGGGAAGAACAACCCCAGGAACCAGTACAGGCTGGGGGCTGCAGAGTGGGAAAGCAGCTTTGTAGGAATGGACCTGAGGGTACTGGAGAACAAGCTGCTTGTGAGCCAGTAATGTGCTCTCAAAGCAAAAAAGGCCAACAGCCTCCTGGGCTGCATTAGGCAGAGCAATTCCAGTAGATCAGGAGAGGTGATCCTTCACATTTGCTCAGCCCTGGTGAGACACAGACACACTGGGAGTGCTGTGTGCAGTTCTGGACTTCCCAGTGCAGGAGATGTGGGCATACTGGAAGGCATCCGTTGTATAAATGGACACAGAGGTAGACATGCTGGAGTGAGTTCAGTGAAGGGGCAACAAGGTATTTAAAGGTTAGGAGCATGTGACATACAAGCAGTGGCCAAGAGCTGGTGCTGTTTAGGCTGGAGAAGAGGAGTCTTGGAGAGATCTTATCATTGTATATAACCTGGGAGGGAAGAAGTGGGGGGAGTAAAAATGATGGTGCCAGGCTCCTCTCAGAGGTATCCAGTGACAGGACAGGAAGAAGTAGGCACCAAGTGAAACACAAGGAATTCCATATAAATATAACAAAATACATTTTTACTGTGTGACTATCAAGCACAGGCATCTTGGAATATCCAGGAACAGAACCACTATTCTTGAAGGTACTAAAAATCCAGCCAGATGTGATCCTGAGCAACCTGCTCTATGAGTAAGGGGGTCAAACAAGACATCTCCAGAGATGTCTTCCAACCTCAACCTTAGGTTAGTCTATAAAGCACATGAGGGTGAAACAATAGTTCAGTTTGTTTAGTGGGCTAAATGCATTAGCTCTGTCATAGATTTAATATTAATTTTGTATAAATACGAATAAAGTACGTAACACTGAGGGGTATGATCCCAAACTGGGAAAACAGAAGGAAGGGCCATACCTATCAGATAACCTCAAAGTGGCAGGACTTGGAAGCTGGCATAAATGGACTGAAGTTTTTTTTAGCTAGGTCATTTGAGACGATGAAGGGGATAGAGGAGAAAACTGGAGTAAACTACAGCAGTGCACAAGGGCAACCAAGGAGTTTGAACGGTGAAGTTTTCAATCATGTTAATATAGATTTATTACACAATGAGCCCGAAGCAACCTTCAGGTCATAATTTATTTCTTATCACGGTCTGTGCAACAAACTTATATTGTCATTTAACAGAGGTTTGAGTTATCTTTGACTTCGTTTCTTTGGCGCAAGGTGTGCACATACTGACAGTATGTCAGAACTGCAGTAATCTGTGGTCCAACCCCAGCTCCAGCAAGCACATTGCCTCATCATTATCCTTTCTGTGTTCCTGCTTTGCAGCACCACATGCAGAAAGGGGAATACTCCCTGACAGAGCACTGACTGAGGGATGGATGTGCCACTTCAAGAGAGTCTGCCTTGACAAAAAACTCCTCAGTGACAAAACAGAGGGACAGGTATCGTAGAGTCTCCCAACTTGACCTGCAGCTTCACTGCAGAAGGGACAGGCTCAAGGCTGAGCTCAAACACAGCTTTTTGGATTTTAAACCAAAAGTCTGACTCTCCAAGCAACTTCAGCTTCCAAATGCAATTACACATATTGTCAGTCCTTCAGAGATTCAGAGGCACTGGACACAACTGTATGTAGGAGTGTATATTAAGACCACAACACAAGCAAATATGAATGTTAAGGATGAAACATAAAGGATTTCCCCAGACAAATTTTGATTGGTGGTCTGTAATGTGTTGTTTTGCCAATACTGTTACATAGAAACACAAGGTTTTTTTCTTGTTTTCTTCCATTTTCCTCATCAGTCATTAACATGCTACAGTAAACAGGCTGTACATTGGTGACAGGACTTACCCCTGAAGTTGCAAAGGTAGTTAAAAAAAGGTGTTGAAAAGCAGAGTGTGTGCTACATCTGGTTGACTGCTGGTGGTAGATGGCCACTGCTGTTAAACGAACATACATATTTATATAGATAAATGACAAAAATGGTGTTTGAGGAAAACCAGCAGATGCCTTGTGATTAAAGGGAACAAAAGCTAGTGAAGATGACAACTGTAGTGAAAGGTTTCTGGAAGCAGATACTCCCTTGGTGTTTTGTCTATGTCACGTTTCACTAAACTTTTCTTAGGCTTTAGAAGAGCTAAGAACCACACAGAGACCAACAGTGGTCTTCAAGATTAGAGAGGTCCCAGGTGCGCACCCCCAGACAGTCAGGGGTTTACCCAGCAGGAGATCTCTGGGGCAGCAGCTTTATCATTTCTCCATCCCCTCTCTGTTTCACTCACCTCTCAACAAGGTATTTCCTGCTATTTGCCCCTTTGCACTTCTGCTCCTGTCAAGTCGTAACATCATCCATCTTCTGCAGAGAGCTTCTCCCTCACTTAAATTTCTGGCAGCCAGTGTAACTCACTGTTGCTGAATTGAACTTAAAGGGGACTAAGGGATCTTACCCTGCGTATAAAATTTTAACTTCAGTATTGAAAATAAAAAGAATCCTTCCATTACAGATATTCCATCATGATCAACACCCATTTAAATATTGTTGTTGAAGAAATACAAGTACAAATTAAATATGAAGTGCTTATATAATTGTGCCCTAAACGACAGACTTGAAAATTAAATTGATTTCTGTTCTGAAACACTCTTCCGGTTCTTGGAAATCCAAAGGAAATTTATATGAAATGGGACATCACCACTGAAGTAGTGCCCATTTAAGTGGGAATGTCCACAAATCAACTTTTCACAGCTTTATTTAGATACATTCTGCATATCAAGACAACATAATATTCTTCCAAAATTAGATACTCTTAGATTAACTGCAGAGAGAGAGAGCAGGTGAACCATTCAATGAAGCCTGCAGGAAAAGACCAAGGCTGGTCACACGAAGCACAACACATGATCCACCATTTGAAAACGTGGCAAGGTTTTTTTAAATCACAATACATTCTTCCTCAGAAAAGGGCAATGGCATGCACCGAGCAGATTTTGTAACACAGAAAATGTGCAGAATTAGGTCTCCAATCAACCATTCACACACTGCCAATGTTGCCTCAAATTGTGGTTTAAAAATACAAGTGCCCCCCCTTCTGGCCAACAGAGACGCCCAAAAGTGGCTTTGCAAGAGATTTCAGGCTGATTTTAAAATGTAGTTTCAGTTTTAAAAGTTAACTAGACTTGTTCTAGGAAATAAACTCTCAGTCAAAGCACGTAACTCCCATTAAATTCCAAAATATTTCTACAGTTATTTTTAAAAAGTGAAAGATTTCCTTTGCTCATGCAATGCTACATTCTGGACAAGATATCTATCCATCAGTTTCTCAATAATGAGAATGTTGCAAAAGCTCTGAATATTGCATTGTGCCACAGGACCAGGCTTCCCATAAGTGTCCAGACATGCAAGGGTTTACTTGGTGTTGAATGGTGCCAGCCCGGGCCACTGAAAGTGACACACTGACATCTGTGCCATGCTCAGCCATGGCAGGGGACTTGCTGTTAGACCCAAACCAGGCTGCTTTAGGTGGTCAGTCCCCTGTCAGGTTAGTCCTTCACTTTGGTGATCAGTTCCCAGGTAACTGTGATGTAATTATTCCAATGCCTCGATATATAGCTTAGAGGGAAGATGGCTTAAGGGAGGGTAGTTGCTGGACTGCAAATATTTTAATGATTGCTTTTTAAGTGGCATTTCAAAGTAAATCTCACAAACAATCCAGATGCCCATTTATATGCCATCTGGACAACAGTATTCAACAGGAGGACAAGAAGTCAAAGTATGACAAGCAAGCACACTGCTTCTGTGGAGTCAGGTCCTTTCAACCCACAAGGGCATCTCAACTGAGGAAAGCAAACTCTGGGTTTACTCCTCTCTTTCTGGTTAGAATTTTTTTCAGTTTAGTTCCTACATGCTTTTCCTGATGTTGAAATGACAAATTACAATATGTAAAGGTTTTTTCATAAATAATTACTCTTGATACAGTAATAAAGACAGGATTGAAAACGCCTCTGCAAACAATGTCACAGTTTAGTGCAGCCTCAACGAAAATTCATGGCAGAAATAACCTAAGGAACACTGAAATACACTGAAATATGCTTACATATGTTGTTCAGGTATTTATATCAATAGCTTTCTGCCTTTTGAAAGGAATACTAGCAAACAGAAGGGAAAAAAAGGCATAATGTTGTGCTACAAAATTTTATACCAATGAACAGATTACCTCTGGCTTTGTCCTCAGCACCAGCTTGGGAAGTAGATGAACTGAATTGCTTAAATGGCAAACTTTAGATCAAAGTGATGGCTACTCTTGTGAATTCAACACATCTGCAGAGCCAGCAAGTTGTCTGACACATGCTCCTTAGCACACCTGTATTGCTATATTAGTGTATCTCATGAAGTTCTCCTTTCTACTTGCCACAACTCTACTGTCTGAAAAAATAAGTTAACAGAAATATAAAAGTTTCCAAATACCTGATTAATTGTCTCTTGTTGCAGCTTTTTTCCAGACTCTGAAAAGGAAAGAAAATAATTAGTTTGCATATATTTTAATCAGTATGATAGAGGACATTCAGAGCAACAAACAATAAATTAGTAAAAAAAAATCAAACCCCTTAGTTAAGAAACAGAATTTGACATGTAGAAATGACTTGATAGTTTGAAATGGAAAGCAACGTAAAATAAAATAAACACAAGCCTCTCTTAAAAAAGAGGTGTGATAGAAAGAAGATTGAGATAGGTAGCCAATCTTGCCAACCTGGAACCCCACAAAATATTTAAACATTCAAAGGGGAGGAAAAACATTCTAATATGTAGTATGAAGCCTCTTAATGTTGCAAGATGTACTACGTGACCAAAAGACTGGTAGCATCCAGCTCAGGATTTGACCACTGGAGGAGAAAAGCAACTTCTGCCATTACCTTAAAATAAAATTAAATGCCTGTGTCAAGACTGAGGCTCAGCACCAGCTGGCCCAGGGAGAAATTCTATCCTGATATTATCCACAAAGTGGCAAGTTGAATTATGGTCTTGTTTCCTTATTCTGGTCTTCTTCTGCAGTATCCTTCAGTGTGCTCCTGGAGATAAAATCAAAACCTAGACAGAACACTGCTTTTCTACACTGTCTGGGACTATAGAAGCAAGGACACCTCAAACCTGTTCTTGCTTTTTTGACCAAAAGGGGCAGTAATTTGCTTCATTTACTGCTCCCATGCACTAGTTGTCAAAAGGGCAGCTGGTATCAGTTTGCTACTGGAGACTGTCCACACATATTGGGGAAAGTCAGGAATTTCACACTTGCCTATCCAGCTAGGCTACGTGCACCCTGAGGGTTTTTAAAAATAATAATGATAGGACAGGACTTACAACCTGTCAGTATCACTATTAACTGTCAGGGGAGCCTGCCTAGCTCAGGTGGCTGCCACCTCCAGCCCTGGAAAGGATACTTCATTTCAACAAAACTTTTCCATATTGATAAGTGTGGCACAAACAGAATTTTTAAAATGAGATGAAAATATTTAAAGTGTTAAAATACAGTATAAAGACTCTACTTAAAGGAAAAAGATCCTCCCTTCCCATCCCTAAGACTACTCCTCTTTTCAATGAAAGCATTACAGATTATTCAGATGAAGATAATGACTTTAGGCTATATTATAAGATTGTCTCTTATGATAATTACTTCCTGCATGCTTGTATTGTGTTTTTATTTGCTAAATATAAAAACTATGTTTTTAAAAACCTCCACAGAACTATTTTTTAGGGAAGACTTCTTAAAATGCATTCGTTTGCTCACTGAGTTCATCTTTAGGAGAAATAAGATTTATTCTTGTAACAAATATTTTAGCCAAATAGATTGTTGGTAATAGAAGATTAAAGGGGTATGTGTTTTTAGCATTCTCTAATGATATACAAGTTGCTAGGAAAGCAGAGTGTTTGAAATCTCTGGTTAGATCAACACTATTTTGCTCAAAGGTTTGTGGACTTTGAATACTGATGCTTTCCTGTTTCCCAGTACATTTGTTTTTAGGCTATTTTGATTCACTTTAAAGGAATTTTAATAACTTTCTGTTGACAGCATGGACAGCTGGTCTTGAGAATTAGTGAAAATTCACTTGCTGACTGAGGAAGGAAGTGACATCAATGAGTTTCTAAAGTCAGCCCTGAGGGAAAAGTGTGCTCTGCCAGAGTAGCCTTTCATGCCATTGTATTTCCAGTGATGCCTCAAGATGCAAACTGCATTATCAATCAAACTTGTGGTTTCTACCTCAGACAAATATAGAAAAAAGAACAGAAAGACTGGGAAAGACCTGTGCAGCCATTCCTGACACTACTAAGAAAAAGGTGAAGAAGAATTTATGGTAATTCTTTCCTTGTTCTCTCTTTCTTTTTGTAATTTAAATGTACAATATCAAGGAAAAGGCAGTTGCAGAAGTGGCTGTATGATACGACAGCAATGATGACATGGGTTAAACAGGACAGAGATTGACTGTTGGGCTGTTAAGGATAGAAGAGAGATCAAATTCAAGGTCACCACTAAATTGAATACTGAGTTCTCCATTTATTCGCTAGATGATCCTTGTCCTCATCACAGAACAACTATGTGCATTTGGCAGAGTCAGCACTTGTGCTCAGAAGGCACCAAGGTCTGTAATAACAGACAGACTACAAATCAGGGTGGAAATATATTGGCACCATTACATGGGGAAACTTGCACAGTCCTGGTGTGTATTGTATTATTGTTTTAGAAGAAACATCACAAAAAGCAGTGAAAAAACATGACACCTACAGTGCTGAAAGGGGTTTCAGTTTCCAGCTGCCAGACAGGGCAGGACAAGGCCATTGAAAGTGGGCAGAATTTTGTTTGTCCTTTTGTCCTTTGGGTTTTTTTTCTTTTTCTTTTTTTCCTTGTTTGCCTTTTTTTTTTTTTTCTTAAATTCACAGAATTATCTTACAATGACTAGTTGCTAATCTGTTTTATTTTTGGCATTCTCACTTTTGAGGAGGATGTTCTTGTGTTGGTGCCTTGTGATCATTTGTGGTGACCATCAACCCATCAACATTCACCAGCAGGATTCAAAAAACACCACTGGAGAGAGTACTCCTAACTCAAAGGACATGAAGCAATGGGACACTGACAAAACCAGAATTGTCAGAACATGTCAGCCAGCCCTACAGGCAGCACCTGCTGTCATCAGTCTCATGAAATTCAGGTAGTTCTTGACACTTACAAGAAGATCCATTTCTGGTAGATGTACACATGCTAAATTTAAAATTTTTGAGTTTCTCCCAAGCCACTGCAATGAGGCAGCAGCTTATGCAACATCATCAAACCAACTGGGAAATTTTCTGCCATCTGAAAACTCTCATGGAAGCTGCCCAGCATGTAGGCAGAGCATTCCCAGAGCATACCTTCTGCAACTCAGACTGCTTGTGAGCAGCTTGCTCTTCTCCTATATTTTTCTGAAACTTCATTTTTCTACCTATCATCTTGCAAACTGTTCCTAAATGGGCTCAACAGTGCCACCTGAGCTAAAAATCACAAATCCAAAGGCCTTAATCATACACAAATAACTGATAGTTTGTTATTTGAAAGTTGTATTTATCAGTATGAACTATGATTCTTGTTTGCTGACACTGTGCTTTCCTACCACGCTAATTGAGGCCAAGCTGCTGCAACTGGATACCAGTGATGTTTTTTTTGCATCAGGACTGGAGAAACGTACCTTTCCCAATTAATTTTTAGTGATTTTCTTTTGTCGCTCTAGTTGCAAAAAGTGTAATGGGTAGTGACTGGTTGAGATAAATGGCCTTCTTGGGTTGACCTCAAGCTATATCACTTTAGAAAAAAAAATTACAACAACATTGTTTAAAAGAATACTCTGTATGTTGATACACTAATTAATATACTAATTCCTGTTTCCAGGGCAAGTTGGTTTTTTAAATTTTTTTTTTTTTGTTTTGGTTGATTGTCCATGATTAAAAGATTACCTTACTGAGAGGAATAATGTATGTTTTCCAATGTAACTGACAGCTGGAAGACATGAGAGTGTGCCATCAGTGTGCCTCTGCTGCTGTCACGAGGAATGGCAACACTGACTCCTCAGCCTCATGCACACAGCCTGCACAGAGAACCACACATAATTATGCACTCTATGCCCTGCTTACCTCCATACAAAGGAATGGCATATTTGTGCAGGTTTACAGATTAATCTGCTGTAATTCCCTTTAGTGTTAAACTACTTCCAGCTCAAATATAATTAAGATCACCAGGTACAAAAGATTCAGATTGGAAATATGAGTACAATCCAGCAGAACAAATAACAGCTTGATGCTGTTCTTTATGTTCAAATAGTTGGATACATTAAGGATTTTGACAGCATGTTTGTTCTGTAAGTATGTAGATGAAAAAACAAAGGTTTCATTTCAAAAGGCAAGACATTACTACTGCATTTAATTAGAGAGAAAAATCCCTTAAGTATACAAATCTGCCAATTTATGTGACGTGACTGCTGTAAGACCTAGCAACAATGGATTTTTTTTTCCTTACAAAAATCAAATCCAAATTTATATGTACTTCAAGCAACCATCATAAATGTCAAAATAAAAGCTTTGGAATAAAAAGTTTGCTTCCTTAAGTCTTCAGATAATTCTACTAATATTTATGGCATGGCAGAAAGGAAGGGGATGAACAGAAAGGCTAAGTCTGTTTCTCTGTTCCCAAATATCTGAGGGTTTCCAGAAAAACTGAGAATAGTGTGGAGATCTCAGGGGGCAAAGGGGACCCTCAGCCTTGCTCTGAAACTGCCATATGTGTAATCTGGAGCAGCCATATTCACTTAACTTCAAGGGGGAATGGTACTTCTAAAAAATCATTTGTGAAGAGGGAATTTGATGCTCTAATACCAATTTAGTTTTGCTTTTCCAGTGAAACAAACCCTACTAAATTCATCTTTTACTTTACGTTTCTAGACTTAAACACATACGCAACCTATCAAGTTGTGACCTACCCCACTTTGATTACTGCAGTCCTGATCTACCAGCACAGATTCTGAGAATAGTAAATAAATCAAAGCACTCATTTTTGATAAACTTCTGCAGCAAATTCCCATGGCACCAGAGCCTGGGGAAGAAACACTCAGATTTGTTTTTCAGGCTTATAACAGACAAGGTGTGACACTAACAGATTATCTTCTGTGAAAGCCTGTAACTAGGCACACAAAGATTAAAATATTTAAGGCAGAACCATACATTTCCTATGTTTTATCAGCAGAATCTCTGGAGTCTGCAAGCAGCACAGCTCTTGCAGACCTGCACATAATTTCCTCCTCCTCCTAATAAGGAATTCAATAAACTGAAAGTGCTCATTTATACCATTGCCTTCAAAACCTAGTTTAGCTTACTGTTGCACCTCTATGATAATTATGCAACTGAATATGATTACAGTGGCCTAAAATATATTAATCACTTCTTCATGGTATTGCATAATCCTTCTCAGTTGTCACAATGCCAACTC